CCTTGATGTAGCAGAGAGTGGCAGGGTGTCAGCACACAGAGCGGGGCTTGTCAACTGTGATTGGGTGAATGGCGTGACAGTCGGGGGAGTGTAGTCAGCCACGGCTTACTGGAGTTCTGCTACAGGCAGTGGCTGCGTTATCTGTCTAATGGAGCGGAAGGAGACTTGTCAGGACGGTCACATCAGCGTCTCCCAAGTTTTATCTTGACTTTTCACCAGAGCTGCGACTCTACAGGATTCTCAGCGTTGAGAAATAACCGTCCTCGTCACCAGAAGTCCTGCCAACTCGAACGTTTCTTCTACTTTGCGCCTATTTTCCTAATAACAACAGGTCGGTCTGTGAGACCTCACCAGCCGCTGTTGTTTACTAATTCATCATCATGTAACTGGAGGACGATCATTGTGTGCAGAGGGAATAGGAGCAGCAGAGGGTAACTGGAGAAGAGACTTGCCCCTAGGATTTTTTTTTTTTTCCACGCCCTCCTTTGTACTCAAAAGTGAAACGGGTCAAAGGCAACAAAACCTCAGGAAAACTGAGTTAAAACGTCTTCACTCCCAAGTCCAGCAGCTGTTGTTCCTCAGAAAACGTCACGTTTAAATCATTTCTTGTTTGTAGAGTGCAAAGAAAACCTTTTTCTGTTGCTTTTTTGTGTTTGTGAAAAAATGTTGTTTTAGGTGCTGAGTTTTTTTCATTTACATCTGCGTACGAAGGTCTCTTCTTTGTTTCATGTAGTCATTAAATTATCAACAAATCTGTTTTCGTAGACTAACAAACACAGTTTACCAAGATGCTTTTTTTAAATGTATCAATTTTTATGCGCACCATTTTGTTGTTTGTTTTCTGTGATTGACCAAACAAAGATGCTACATTTTATATTCTATCTAGTTACAATTACTTCTTTCAATTATACAACACTTTATTATCTATTGTTGCAATTTTTCACTTCATGTGCTGCTCAACAGTCCATAGTCAACATCGTTTCATTCTCTCCTCCTCCTCCTCCTCCTCCTCCTCTTCTCTGGAGGAGCTCTAACACTTACTGATCCGACCACAGATCACTGAACTTTTGTCTTCTTTCAAACGCCCTCTGCTGTAGACTGGGCTGCGTTGTTGAACAGAAATTCTATAAAAATCAATATTTATATAACGACCGTGTCCACTGATACCCTTTAAATGCGTTACTATTTACAAGCTAACAGGTCATGCACTTGGCAGAGGTTTCTTTCCTCGACCACGAGGCCGACAGATTTCACCGGAATCTTTTCACATCATCATCATATAGTCTTGTGTTCAAAAACATTGGGGTTTTTTTTGTTGACAAGCAGTACCCTAGTGTGTTGTGATTGTTTTGTTGTTGCTATTTTACGGGAAAATGTCAGATTCATCCATTTCAAAATAGGTTTAGTTTGTTCGTTTTTTCAGTTATTTAAAAATATGTTTAAATGATTTGCAAAATACACAGTTTGTTGTTATGATAAAGTCAGCTAATGTTTCGTATTTGAGCGTAGTTTTTAATTCACAAATTTCCATTTTTCAATTTCAGCGTCGCTGTGACCCGTTCTCAGGACGTTCCCGTCTTCGGCCCCCCAATACCCAAGGGCGTGACCTTCCCCAAGTCCACCGTCTTTAGGGATTTCTTGTTGACCAAAATCATCAACGCCGAGAACGCTGCCCACAAGTCCGACAAGTTTGGAGCCATGGCAACGCGCACGCGCCAGGAGTATCTGCGGGATTTGGCAGAGCGTCATGTGACCACCACTCCAATAGAGCCCACTGGGAAGTTCCCATTCATCTCTCTGGCCCACAAGCGACGCGATAAGACTCGTCCGTACAGTGGGGCGGAGCTGCGAAGTCTGGGGGCGGTGACCTGGCAGGTGCACGCGGAAGACCAAGTAGCCTGCATGGAGCGCGAGTGCCTGTTGGCCATCTCCAATGACTTCATCGTCCTCCTGGATCAGGAGGCCAAAGCGGTGGTTTTCAACTGTGCCACACGTGATGTGATTGGCTGGTCGACAGGGAGCCCCGCCTCGCTGAAGATCTTCTATGAGCGCGGTGAGAGCGTGTCCCTGCGCTCCATCAACAACAACACAGAGGACTTTGGAGAGGTGGTCAAAAGACTGGAGGTCAGTGAGGCTCACACATCACAGAACAGTAGCTTTTACATAACCATTTGTTAATACAGCATTGGTGAGGAATCGAACCTTTAATACCGGGGGTCCTCGACTTACGTCAGACTTCCGTTCCTACGGTGCTACGTAACTTATTTTCACTGCAAGTCAGAACTCACGAGCTACACGAGTACCTATGCTAACACAATGCTAACATCGTTATCTAGCACATAAAAACATCACAAGAGTCTGACGTCTGACTTACGCCTGAAAGCCACAATGTAGGGCAAAAGTTCCCTAAAAAACTTTTGGGAACTTTTGGGAAACATTTTTCCCACTAGTGTGAAATTGTGTATGTACAGTTGTGTTTTGTTAGCAGTTAACGATTCTCATTTTGCAACTCCACAAATATACTTCAATAACATTGTTAAAAAAAACCCACAAATGATGCCTGGTTTGATACAAAAACAACTGATGTGGAAAATATACATTCATATTATGCAGTTATTTACAAACGTAAGACATAAAAAAGGTAGGTTTTCTCCCAGGGTAGGCACAGCTAAGCTAAGCTAAGCTAATCCAGCTACTTTTCTGTCTTCATTTTTGTTTCTAACTGTAGCTCGAATATTACCGAAATGTTTTTTTTTTTTATATTTATGGATACTAATAATTTAACAACTAACAATCATATAAGTTGCTATTGTTACAGCAACAGGAGGGCGTTCCCTACTGTTACCACAAAACCACAAAACTGTTTTCTTCACTCATTGTCATTATTAGAAGTCACGCAAAGTATAAAACATTTGGTTTTTATCCTTTATTTTAGGCTTAATAATTATTAGGCTTTTTTTTTTAGGCTTCAGGCAGCGTTGATCAGGCAGTGGTTTTTGGTGAAAGATGAAACGTTTACCCTCTGTTTTGACAAAGAACATTTTTTTATCTGTACGTGCTACAAGTAATGTCTTGCCTACTGTATGTTTAAAAAAAAAGAAAAGAAATAATGATTATTTCTGGTTGTGGCCATGACAGCAGCTCTGTTTTTGTTGGAGGTTTAATTAACCACCTGACAGACAGAGAAAGAACATTTTTAAACTAATGTGTTTCCACTGATTGAAATATGTGCGTCTGTGTCTGTGGCTTCAGCAGCCGCTCATAATAATACACCTCCTCCAGGGGAGGAAAATTTAATTTCTCACCACAAAAATGTGTGGGTATCATTGAATATTTATACTTATATATATTTTTTTTATCTGCTTCTCACCTCAGCGCCAACGCCTTGTCCCTCTGTCTCGTTTACAGCTTTTGACCAAAGGCTGTCAGACCACGGAGATGACCCTGCGCCGCAACGCTCTGGGCCAACTGGGTTTTCACGTGAATTTCGAGGGCATCGTTGCAGAAGTGGAGCCCTATGGTTATGCCTGGCAGGCTGGGCTGAGGCAGGGCAGCCGACTGGTGGAGATTTGCAAAGTGTCGGTGGCCTCGCTGTCTCACGAGCAAATGATCGACCTGCTGCGCACCTCTGTGACCGTGAAGGTGGTCATCATTCCTCCGCATGACGACTCCACACCACGCAGGTAGAGGAAACACACAGTCTTGAGATGCAAGAAGGAGACGGCAAATGATTATTTGGTCAATATTGAAATTACGATGATTTAGTAGTAGTAGCTAGTAGTGAATTGAAAATAGATATAAATAAAATATATTACTTAATTAGGAAATATGATATAAAATGCTTTACAAAGTTGAACGACAGTGTATATATATATATATATATAAAAGAAAAAATAGGACAAATAAAAGTTATTAGGATACAAAATATATTTTAATGCCCTGCAACAACACACTGAAAAATCATATACAGTATTTTGGAAAATGAACTCCAATGCTCACCTCTGTTTGTATTGTTCTTCACATAAAAAAAAAAAAAATTGAACTATATTGATCCCATGAAATTCTTGTTAGCAGCAGATATACTGTTAGCGTGCTGTAGGCGTGCTATTCTTGTTAGCAGCAGATATGCTGTTAGCGTGCAAACCGCTACACAATGGGGTGGAAAATATTTTAAATAATAAGTTTTTTTTTTGGTCGATAGCGTTGTTTTTGTGACGTTTTGGAACCGAGATGGCACGACTTCATGATGAGACTTACTTTCAGTGTGAGCAGTGAATATTTCCTGTGTCAACAGAGGCTGCTCAGAAATCTACCACATGCCACTGGTGGACTACAAGAACCACAAAGAGGGCATGCCCTACGAGCTGAAGTTCCCCTTCCGCTCCACCAACAACAACAAGTGGCCACGCACCTCCTCCAGCCCACAAACGCGGGCCGCTGGCACAGTGGGAACGCTCATCAAGGCCCCGCCCTCGGACGTCAACGACCGCAACTCCGCTGTCATTCCGCGCAGCGTGTCCAGCGACGGTCGGCCGATCAACCCCAAAAGGTTTGAGACAGAAGACGCCGACGTCCAAGCTTGTTCCACTCCAGTGTTTCTGTCCAATCACGTCCCCACGTGTCCTTACAGATATTCACCGGGGAACGACAACTACGCCGTGGCCTGCTCCATCGTCATGGGACGCACACTGCACAACACCAACTCCCCCTCCTCCATACCTTACAATGAATCCATGAGCTCCGCCCACTGGAGGCAGAAGTCGGCCCATGACGGGTACTGGTTTGTCTTCTGGTCACCGATGATTACGAACAAAATAAAATAAATAAAATCCTAAATCTGTCTTCATCTGTCTTGAAGGTATAACAACAACAACTGCCAGACCCCGGTGTCGTCAGGGCGACAGGTCGGTGGCGAAGGCATGAATGGGATCAAAGTTTCCCCAAGTGCAGGGGTTGGATGGTGCCGGACAGGAGAGGTCGACAAGAGTAGTCCAGGTAAAAAAAATAAAAATAAAAAAAAACTCTAAACCTTTTGGTATAAGTTAAAGTTTGTGATTTTAAAATGTGGATTTTCTTTTTGTTCTCCCAGATACTGTGGTTTCTAAGATGCTGATTCCCAGAATGCAGCTGGCAGAACAGGGCAACCATATGTCTCCAAATAAAAGCACTAAGGTAAACAGAAAACAAGAAGTACACTACTACTACTACTATAGTACTATGGTAGTTATACATTCTGGTATTTTTAGATTTGTACAAACCAATATGTTACCTTGAACGTATGGGTGATTGTATATTTAAAATGTGTTTTTTAATTATTTGGATTATAAAATCGTGTGGTTTGTAGTTGTAAAAAGTTGTGAATGAAAAAAATTATTTTGATTTTTAAATATATATCCATATATAATGGATTTTATTGCCTTCTCCAGTGTCATATTTGATTAGTTATTCAGATATAGTAAAATCTGTATAACAATCCCATCAAAAATACTGTACAATAAAATTCCAAAATTATATTATTAATTAATTAATATTCAGATATAGTAAAATCTGTATAACATTCCCATCAAAAATACTGTGCAATAAAATTCCAAAATTATATTTTTTATTAATTAATAAAAATGTTTTTTTTGTTTGTTTTTTTTTTTTCTTCCTGAAGGCTGATGCTCAGTATTCGTCCAGTCAGTCCAGCAGCAACACACTCTCCAGCAACGCCTCCAGCTCCGCCCACAGTGATGAGAAATGGTACGACGCGGGCTCACGTTCAGGAATCCGGGGCGACCTGGAGCTGAACGGCTACCTCCAGGGCGCCTCCGCGGACAGCGGCATCGATGCCACGTCCTTTACTGCCACGCAAAGCAGCACCGCCTCCTCCACTGGGGCTTTCAGGGTCAAAGACAAAATGTCATGGCAGGAAGATGCAGCCGGCGGGCCGAGGGTGGCGAGCACTTCTCCTCCAACACTGGACTCCCACGCTGCCGTCGGCGTCTCTGACGTCCAACCTGGTTTTGAAAATGGCTCCTTCGGCGTCAACGACACCGCCTCCCATTCCAGGTGTGCTCCTGTTTTGCTAGCGCCACCTCTGGTAGCAGCTGAAGAATTTTGGCCCTTTAAAAAAAAGAAAAAAATCCACAGACAGTGATTTGTTTATAGTAATATAGTCCAGATAGATCCTGAGATCCCAGATGGAAAAATCCAAAGCTCTGTGGTTTGGCAAAATAGGGTGAGGAAGAATGGAGGAACTGTATGAGGGTGTGTGCGTTTGTTTGTGTGTGTGTGCACGCGCAGTTTTCCTCCATCACGTTTTTCGTTCCCACAGAAATTTATAACAGACCTGTTAAGCTGGAAGCTAAGTTCATGATATGTGCATCGAGAGATACTTCATAAACTGCAGTACAGGGTGATGTAAAGATGCCAGAATGATCGAATACAGACGTTAACACGGACAAAAAGTTAAAGTAAGTCAAAAATATGAGACGTTGAAAAGCATTTTTTTTATCTGCGTCGCCCAAATCCAAAGGTTTTTACTTTTCTTTTTTACGTGGTAATAAAATCTCTCATAAACCCTTCTTAGAGTGAAAAAGTAAAGTGAAAAAGCCGAAGTACACGTACTGTAGTGCTGTCAGCTCTGCTATTTTTTTGTTTTGTTTTACAATTACATGAATGTCAAATCCTGTTTCCCGCCCACAGTTCACAGAACTCTGGTCCCAGAGGAAGTCCGATGGGTCAGGTCTGCAGCTCCGTGTCACAGCAGGATGAGACGTCGGCTGCAGGAGCCGCTTCATCCACGCCCCACAACAGCCAGTCACCCGGGACTAAGAGTTTCTACCCTCGACAAGGAGCGACCTCCAAGTACCTGATTGGCTGGAAGAAGCCCGGGGGAACTGTTAACTCTGTGGACTTTGGCAGTACTCGCAAGTAAGACATAAATATATATATGTATATATATATATTTTTATTGTTATAAACATCTGTGAGTGTTATGAACATCTGTCACTGCGTAGTAACACAACCTGCTGGTTGTGACGACGATGTGGAAGAGACAGGAAGTAGTGTTTGTTCGGCATAAGTTGTGCCTCTTTTAAATCAAGCCAAGGCTGCCCTCGTGTGGTGAGTTTTGAGGTTGGTTAGTTGTGTTGGGAATACAAAAGAATTACATTTTTTTATTTTTCAGAAAAACTACACACACACACACACACACATATATATATACATATATATATGTCGATGTGTTAAGTAATTTAAATGTGTTCAAATGGATGGTTTATTATTGTAAAGTAACTCCAAATCAGTAGGATATTTTTTTGGTAAGATTAAGAAAAATAAGTGGAAATTAAAGATGTTCAAAACCCTAAATTGTTAAAAAATCCATTGTTCCGAGTAGTTCATTTTTAAATATTCAAAGCCAGGAATTATTACTATTCTTTAAAGCTAAATTAATAACTTACTTTTTGCGGCAAAAATGTACCTTCAACCTTATTAGCTTTACATTTATATAAACAATAATGTTTCATGATTGCATCTATTCATCGACCGAGACACAACAACTGCTGTTATTGCACCCCCTGCAGGGCTTGGGGAGGTTCTGCTGCGTGTTTTATGCTCACTAAATTTAACCCACAATTTCTGTATACTTCTAGCTGTATATGTTCCTAAACGTTTTTTTTCCTGTCCAGGCGACACCAGAGTGACGGTCTGCTGGGAAGTCACCCGCAGCTCAGGGCAAACCTCCGCGGCTCCCAGTCTCCACACCGATACACGGCCAAGTCCAGCCTGGAGGAAGACTTGAAGAAACTCATCACACTGGACAGTCCTCCACCTGTTACAAGTGATGAGAAGGTACTGAGAGACACCGTGGTCAATTAGTCTAACACTGGAGTGGAATGGGAATATATGTTTATATATTTGTGTGTATGTATCAGGGGTGTCCAACTCATTTTGGTTCATGGGCCACATATAACCTAATTGGATGTCAGGTGGGCCGGACCAGTGCAATCATAACATAATTAACTATAAATAACAATAAGTCCAGGTTTTTCCCCTTTGTTTTTATCAAGTACAAGTATATTAAATATTTAGTATAATCATTTATGGTTTATTTATTAATGAAATATAATTTTACAAAAAATATTCTGAACATAGAACAAGTGTTTGGGTATTTTTTATTTTCAAAATTTACCAAGCCGACCCGATTGAACACCCTAGCGGGCCGGTTTTGGCCCATGAGCCGTATGTTTGACACCCCAGGTATATATGTATATATGTGTGTGTGTGTATATGTATTATCACTGGAAAAATTACATAGTTGAATATATGTGTATATATAAACATGTATCTGTATTTATATAGATGTACTTTTTTTCTTCAACATTTTGTGGCTTTTGAGGAGGTAAATTACTGAGAGTCTCTTAGGTAAGAATGAAAGTCTTGTAGTCAATTCAGGAGCCAAGTTTGTGTGATAAAAGACAGGCTGATGTGTTGTCGTAGATGGCGCTGTCGTGACAATAATGTCAGCTGCATTGTAAATTATTCAGCATTTCTTCTTGTTTCTTCCTGAATCTTCAGCCTCTGTTTCCGGGGCCTCCACCCACTCGACGCTCCCTCCAGAGAACCCTGTCGGATGAGAGCATCTACCGCGGGCAGAGGGAGGCGCCCTCATGTGGACAGCGTGACACGCCAACTGACCTTCTGTTCAGCTGCTCCACTCTTCCGCGCTCACCCACGGCTCGCCAAGGACCCAGCCGGCGAGCGTCGCACAAATCCCTGGGTGACTCTCGCGCGCACTCTCACAGTAAATACTCATTTACAGCAAAGATGATCATGTGTTTAACGACCTGTTTGGATCTCCCAACGTTATTTGACCTCAGGAGACCTTTCGGCCACCGCCAGCTCAGAACTGGAGCAGGACAGGAAGAAGAAGCAGCAGCAGCTGCAGGAAACTGCCCTGATGCCCCTGCCTGACCACGGGGCAGATGGTCCCCTGGACTGGGCTCACCTGGTGGATGCTGCCAAGGCCTTTGAGGGTGAGGATAAACGGTGGAGTTTTCTTTTCCTTCTACAACTGTAAACTGTGCGCCGTGCTGTGGTTGCATAATTGTTTTTTGGTTAATGTTTAAATTAAATGATCTGTGTCTGAAACGACACTGTTGTACCACACACTCACCCCATGGTGCATGGAGGTAATATGATGGCACCCCCTGCAGGAGAGGAGGTGCCCGTGGTTGCATAAGTAGATGGGGATCTACCACTAGAAGGCGAAGGGAGTGCTGCTACATCATGAACACTTAAATTAAAAAAATAAAATATATGTATAAATATGTTTAAATATTACTGTACTGTGTGAAGTAGTGACCATACACTGTAAGAATTGAATCAGATTCTGACCTACAGCCACATACTGTACATTTACCTATTACACCAACATGTTATGTGTATAGAGTATATATAAAATGTTGTTTTTA